CGATATGTGGATCAATATATAAATAGTTGAATTAGATTGACAGAGTAGTGACATTAATCTTTTAAAGAGTTAAATAAAACTCGTACATCAATCTTATTTAACCAATCACATAAATTACATTTTATTCAATTATGTGAATATAAGATGCAGTTTTCATTTTCGGTCGTTAAATTCGGTTAATAATGTTGGTGAAAATAAATAACTATACGTTATTAATAAATTTCTAACATATATAAAATTATTCAAATATTTGATATTTGAAATGCAAATAATATATGTGTATAACATATGTATTGATACACATCATGATATCAAAAAGAAATCTTTTTAATTGTTATTTTAATTCAAATTTTTATTAAAAATTGATAATCTACAAATTTTCAAAAGAAAAAATATTCTATAACATGAAATTATTAAAAAAAAATAAAAATCATCAATTCACATTGCAAATATTAAGCGCAGGTGATATGGCGCGGTATTGACTTATTAGAAGTTTGCACCAACGAGGTTCGACGAGAGCATGATCGTGTTGCTCGCTTTGATAGGCCCTTGTATGCAATTACTCTGGTTGGCTCCCAAAATGCTTCCTTAAGTGTGCATATCAGGAACAACTCGTCTTCCCTTCTTCCAATCTCCTTGTTACCCTTTTTCCACGCGAAGTGAAAGCACATGGCTTTTTGATGGAATTCTTATCCATGTGATTTTAATGAAATAACGATATTTTTTATAATTTTTTCTTTTTATCAGAGATAGTTATACTATTTTGATCTTCGTTTTTCGATTGGTCTGAAAATTTTTGTCATAATGATAATAAAATTATATTTCTTATAATTTGATTTATATTTCCTTCTATTTATAGATATAATTCATTATAATTCAGTTTCTTTTGATTCTGTTCTACTTTTACCGTGCTTCATTTTCAATTTTTCCAATTCAAATTTAATTTTTCTATTTCATCATTCAAACATATAGAATATAATAATTTTTAAAATTAATAAAAATTTGAAGTGTTATATAATACAACTATATAATTATATATTAATTTTTTTTCATGATTTAATAATTCTTAAAATAAAACTAATTTTTGAAACTTTCTAAAACTAACATACAAAAAATAATGGTGCATTATATTTTATCTTGTTAAAATATTTGTTAACGCTAATAATCATTTCTTCTATAATTATCAACTAGCAACTGCAGATAAAAATCAAGAATTAAGCATTTGAAAACCGATGACGAAATTCCTCTGAGATGATTTTTACTTCAAAAATCACTATTTATTATATATGAAAATAGGATTAAAATTATAATTAATTTACACAGTTATTAATATAATTCATCATTCACACGAAAAGATTTATTGTATTTGCACATGATGACAATAAAAATAATTTGATAGTATATTTGCGAATTGCTAAGGAAGCAACAGAAAATTCGTGTTTCATGAAGCTACACGTGGGTGTAAACAAAAGTATGATTCTGCTTGGGGCACGGAATGTGCTGGACGCTGCGCTGTGTCCTATACACCGGCTATGCCGCATGGCAGATTAAGCGTATACGTACTTACATACGGCGTGGCATGGTATACAGCCGTCCGCTTCGCGGCCGCCGCATTCCAACGGCTGCCCAAACCAAAACCTATATCGCGTATACCTATCTCGCTCTTGCCTTCTCCTTTCAACCATATGTTTGCTCTTTTTCCCCTCTATCCCCTCTACCTGTTCCTTTTCACCCCTACCACAGCACCTTTTATTCGACCCTCTTCGCAGGAGAAACGTGGCTGCACATTGTCTCCCTTCTCTGTCTCTCTGTCTCTCTTTGCTACGCTGTTTCTATTCGTCTCTGTTTCTTTTTATATATTGATATTATTTTTAATTAGTATCGACTGTTGCTAATTATTAGTCAAGGACTTATGATTTAAGGTGGACTTCGAATCCACCGCCAATAGTAATATATAGTGTTTCCAAGCGACACTCATTCTAGCATATAAGTATTAACTGTGCCCGACATAGCTTAACTTTGATGATCAAACGGGATCCAATGGATTTTACCTGGCAAGATCATTGCCGTTTCTCCTTAATATCACAATGACATATGTCATGATTTCGCAATGAATTTTTTGATCGATTCGATTAATCATATGTTATTTGTATCACTTAATTGTTGATCGAACAAATCATAACAATTTATAGGATATCGCGAAATCTTAATAATTAATAAATGAAGGACGAGAGTTTTATATATTTCTTCATTCTATTCTCCACCTAATCGATCCAGGACACATATAAATCTTCCATACATTTCTTTAATATATATTACGAGAATAATATCTTAATAACTATTTATAATAATTTTTTCTTGATTTTTGCACTAGATTATTGAAATTTTACAATTAAATCAACATGAAAACACATATATAAGAATTGGCAAATTTATAGATACAATACAACGATCAATGATTTAATAAATTATACATTAAAGTATTTATATAATATTAATCATTTTATGATAGAATTATGTATAATAGAATAGAATTGTATAACTTTGATAAAAATTTAAAAAAAACATGATTTGAAATTGCATAATATATATGAATCAATATATTAATTGTAAATATATGCAAATATAAATAGATGAATGAATTATGTACAGATTTCTAAAAAAACATATTTATATGTACAATTTTGATAAAACAATTTGTTTTTGATTATCTATTAGATATCAAATGAGAAAGTTAAATCTTGGACCCGTGCCTTCGTATACGTCACTGAACAGGCGAAAGTCTGAGAAGAAGGATCATGATCTATCAGACGAGAGTTCTCGCGAGTGTGCAACCTACGCGATAACCGGTTAGCTGTAAATCCTTTCAGAGGTCCAAATCATTCTTTTACAAAGATTTATGTGATACCTTATGATTTTTGAACAAATCAGAATCGATGAATATTTAACTTTGAGTGAAAAGATAATATCAAACACTTGAACAAGTTCGACTTTCATGAGAATGTTTCATGTATTTGAGAAAAATTTAATTTTCGGAAAAACCGGTTTCAAGCAGTTAGATGTTAGAATGCACAAACTTTATTATATACGTAATATTATTTTGATTGTGAATATTTTTTTAATATCTTATTTTAATTCTAGAAATATTATTAAATTTAATAAAATATTAAAATAATTTTATTATGTAATTTATATTATTGAATATATTATTGAATATTGAAATTATGAATTTATAGCGAACATATGAAATATAATTTATAAAATTTAATTGCTAAAATAATATCAATTTTTATTTTTATATTTTTTAATATAATTAATAATTTATAAAATCGCTTTTTATATAGAATATATGTATTAAAAATCTTACCGAATTTTATTTAGCGTATTGGTAGAGATGAACATATGTATTTATTCGGGACATGATGGGCACTCAAGAAACACTATATAAGATAAAATTATGAACAAAAATTTCACTTTTGTTCAATGTTCACGTTGTACACGAACATTTTTTGTTTTTATTATTCTATCAAAATATATATCACGTCGCAAAAGCACATATAACTGTATGTACATTTCGATGTTCTGTAAAACTGTAAACACATAAGAACTTTTTAAACTGTACCATGCAGCAATGATATTGGTATAAATGCATGATGTGTTGAAATTAACAATAGCCAAGGGCTACAGGAATAAAACAAATTCACCTTGTTTCTTTTAAATCTTCACTAGTATGATATATTCTATTTTTTTAATAAGACGACATATCCGCACATGCATCCGATCAAGTCGCCGCTTTTCGACAGCTGTCAATTACGAACAACACAAGCGCCGCGTTTGTACAGCATCCCAGCAAAACCACTTTCGGTCCAGACTATACAGAAACCTTTTGTACAAGGAATAACGTGGAAGACGATATTTCTGCCATCTATCGATTATTGCGAGAATCAACGTCTCGTGATAAGTATGATTGACAGTTTATCTGAAAAACATTATTTTAAATTTTAAATTAAATTTTAAATATACCATTTATTTGACATAACATAAAAATAATGATTTAAAATTCTTATAATAATATAATTAATATTAAATAATTATATTCTTTTTATTAATTATTTTAAAAACAATTCATTGTATATATTTCAAATAATATAAAAAAATACTTAAAATATTCATGAACTTATAATATATATATAATATTAATAATATAATTTAATCTCATTTTTTGTAAAAAAAACTTAAAATATATTTTATATAATTTTAATTAAAGAATATAATTTTTCATAATTATATAAAAAAATTATATTCAACATTAATATATATTATACATTCTATCTTATAAAATAGAATATAAATATTTAATCATAATAAATAGTTAATCAAGAATTAAACTTTGATTATAATAATATTTGTAATAAGAAGTATTTAAGAATTGATTACTTTATTTTGAATATATAATTCTTAACAATAATTTGAATATATATATATAGCTATGAATTCAACACATATATAACTATTGTTTCTGATTTATTGCTAATATTTTAAAAAGAAAAGGTATAATATATGTCATTAGCTAATGAGATAAGTATTATATAATCTCGAAAATTCAACGAAGAAGTATGTCTTTATAAAGCATAATTTCTAAAATTATAAAGTTCATTGTAAATATGGATAAATATATATATATCTATTTATAAAATTTTTTTAAAAAATAACAGTTAACATTTTCAAGAGTCTTAATAAAAATATTCATAAATTTCATTATACATTTATTTACTAAAATATAACATAAAATATTTTTATGTTATATTTTATATTAAATTATGTTGAAATTTATTAATAATAATATATATATACAAAATATTCGTGCAATATTAGAAAAAAATAAAGAAATAAAGAAATATTTATATAATTAGAGATTATTTAATAATCAAATCATAAAAATATCTTGAATTTGGCTTTGTGTTACTTGATATATCGAAGATACATAAAGAATAGAAACAACTTCATGTGAATTCGACTAACGATAACGATACAAGTCAGCAAGTGATCTGAAGCGAACTGCATCCGTGGACAGTTAAAGGGGTGTGCGCCCCGGTTACTTAGATACAATTGTAATTCTTATATTTGACAATAAACTTTAATTTATACTATATGAATTGGAAATAATACGTGATCGATATGGGTGAGTTGTGTGATAATTCATGAAGGTACATGTTCCCGAAATCACACTGAATCTATCCAGTGAATATAAATCTGATCGGTGGACGATTCATCTAGTTTTTTCGAAATATATTTGTATGTAATTTCGACTCTTTTGTCTTTCTAGGAGGATTACTCAGTTATTTTCGTAATTTACTCGGTAGCCGGGAAATGCGAATTTTAATTTTAGGCTTGGACGGAGCCGGAAAAACTACAATCTTGTACAGGTGTATTTCATATTGACACTTTTCTATATTTCGCTTGACAGTTTATGTTTTAATATATATGTTTTAATATGTTTAAAGCTTGATATGACGTTATAATTAATTATTTATTCGTCTTTGTTTGCATGAATATGGTTCATATATCTTATGTTTGAATGTTTATAACCAATAATTAAATACATGTTTATGTGGCATAACAATTTAAAGCTATTGGATGTAAAATAATATGCATGTGAAATTGTTTTCAATATTATATCTACTAGATTGCAGGTTGGTGAAGTGGTTACAACAATACCTACTATAGGATTTAATGTAGAACAGGTCACATATAAAAATTTAAAATTTCAAGTATGGGATCTGGGAGGTCAAACTAGTATAAGGTATGTAATGATAGATAATGATATAAATTAAAAATATCTTTTATTTTATTTTATTTTATTTTACTCTACTCTACTCTACTCTACTCTACTAATTACCCTATTTTAGTCTAATCTTTAAAAATGATAATATATATATATATATATATATAATTATATTTTAAATTTACAGACCATATTGGAGGTGTTATTATTCAAATACAGATGCAATAATTTATGTTGTGGATTCGGCAGATAAAGATAGGATAGGCATATCAAAAGATGAATTAATTTATATGTTGAGAGTAAGTACTTTATGTTGCTAACATAGAAAACTATCAATAATTTTAAGTATTATATTATATCTATAATTAGATTTTATTAAATAACAATGTATGAATAATTTGATATGAAAGTGATATTAACAATATGAAGTGTTCTTAACATACTGAATATAATTTAATTTTAAAATTAAATTTTTATATCATTAATATATAAATGTATATATAATATTTGTATGTATTCAGGAAGAAGAACTGCAAGGTGCCATTTTAGTGGTTTTGGCAAATAAACAAGATATGGCAGGATGTTTAAGTGTAGCAGAAGTTCATCAGGCTCTTGGATTAGATGCTCTTAAAAATAGAACGTTCCAAATCTTCAAAACATCTGCAACAAAAGGTGAAGGTCTTGATCAAGCAATGGACTGGTTATCAAATGCACTGCAAAGTAGAAAATGATTAATATTATTAAGAAATTTTTTTACCTAAGCCTTATTAAGAAGACTAGTCATATGACTGTCAAATTGAACAAGCCACGCAAAGCTGGACACTTTATTCCGTTTATTTATTATAATTATATTTTAAATAGTCTTATTTAATCGAATTTCATCGAAAAACGATATTTATAATTTTCATAATGTGAAGCAGGGAATAAAAATAAAAACAAAAATTTTATCTTTCTATAGAAATTTAAATGAAATAAACATAAAGATTTATTCAATTTAAATATTTTTTTTCATATGATTTAATCATTGCTGTATTCATTCTGTGTAATTTTTATTATTTCTTAATATTACAGCATCTTTGGATTTTTAATATTATATTGGCAAACAATAAGTGTAAAAAAAGTGTAATGTATATTAATATAAATATATCATTTTTTATTATTAATCAAAGAGATTATTTATAAATATTGCAGTAAAATTGGAAATCGTTTGAAATGTCAATATTTTGACATACTGTGTGAATAGTTATGTAAATATATGTATTGGTTTAATTTCATTCATATAATGTTAAGGTACATATGTAAAATGTTCTTTTTTATATAAAAGAAAAACACAATATAGAAAACAAAAAGATTTTGTGTAAAATTGAAACACAATATCTTGAATGATATTTATAAATTTGTTAAGTATAATTATACTGCCGTACAAAAACAAATTTAATATTTCAATCGTATTTAATATTTGACAAAATTAAAAAAATACATTTCATTATTTTTATTTAATATTGAATTATTTAATTTTAATACCAAATATTAAATTCTAATTAAGTATTAATTATTCAAATAAACTTCTTGAGCAATGTACTAAGATTTGATAACTAATTTATGTATTTAAAATCTATATAAATACTATTTCATAATAAATATTTCGCAATTATTAATTGCATTTTAATTACTTATTCTAATTAATAAGATTGATTTGTATAATTTTTGAATTTTTAAAATGTATCTATATATATAGAAAAAAATTTCAATATATATATTCAAAAATATATGTTATATTAAATTATATTATTATATGAATTTATCCATTTTTTTATGTATAATTTGTAAAAAAATTTGAAAAAAAAAAATTAAATATTTTATTAATAATATAATATTTGTGTTCTATCCTAGTTTTCTTATTTTCAGTATTGCTTTTAATTTGATTAATATATATATTTATTTTAAAGTTATCTTTTTTATATGAATCAATAATATATAAAAACATACCTGTCATTTACTGATCTATTGATATTACCATGATGGAATTCCAAATCTTTCAATTCGTTTCATTTGCGTATCTAATTCCATTTGAACTTTCTTTCTCATATAGAATATTGGACAATCACGACTGAAAAGATATAATATTAAATTTAATATTATTACATTCTACTAATTATCTTAATTTAATAAAAATATGACATTTTTCAGTTGTTTAAGTTGTTTAAGAACACACCTTGTGCATAATACTTCTTGATGAAGACTTCCCTGGCATCTTTGACATTCTGTCCATAATCTACAAAACTTTTCTTCTAATTTTCTACCAAGATATAATTCATTTTGATATAATTCTGCTTCTTTTGGTTCGCAATATTTACATAATGCCATTTTTTCTCTTTCTGGTACAAGAACAGCTTTGCAACCTAAACATATTTCCTTTTTACGTGTAAATGCAGACAAAGCACCAACTTTTGATGTAGCAACAGATTTTGTGCGTGTATGATCTCCTTTCAACAAAAGTGATTCAGCTTTTTCACCAAGGATTGGTTCAAAAATACGTATTAGTGGTTTGGCTAATTGATTTTCTAAATAATAATTTGTATCTATAGGAATGTTATTTTCTAAGACATAAATTGGATCTTCTGCTTTTTGATAAGCTGGTGTGCCTTTGGCTGCTCGTATAAAAACATATGGTACTCTATCACCAAGTTTTGGTGCATTTCCAGCATCTCGTTTTTTCATTTTTGCTGCTAATTCAACATGTGCTTGTTTAGCTGCATAATCAGTTTTAGTTAATTCTTTTGTAATTACTAACTGAGAAATATCTATACGATTACATAAAAGGTCACTTATAATTTGTTTTGCATAATTCATAGCATCATTGGGATTTCTACAAAAAAAAAAAAATGCATAATATAACAGATTAAATACTTTTATTTTATTATATAAATATAATATTATTACCTGTCAATAAGTAATTTTTGTAAACAAGTATTCATCATATTTGCTACTAATGGACAATTATCTCTTCGTACAGTTTCTAGACCTTTGCAATCCATTTTATCATATTTGTCTGGACGAGTAAAATATAAACCGGCGTATCGTTTTTTATTAATTAACAAATATGGAAAATATACTTTTTCAAATTCCAGTTTTATTGGTTTTAAAAATTTTGAGGATACATATTCTGCTGCTTCTCTACCAAGTTCCATAGCTTCTTCTACTGTTTTCACACCAAATTTAATCATAACAGAATCAGTATCACCATATACGACCACTGCATTATTTTTATATCCTTTAGAAATGCAGTATTGTTCTTCTACTTCCTGTTTTGTTTGTTCTATCATAGTACGTCCATATGCAGTGACACTCTGAAAATTAATTTTATTATATGTAATAATATGTTTTTTATTATATGTAAAATAATATAATTTATTAAACTAAAAAGTATAAATATTAAAATCTTACTGCAGATATTTCCAAACATGGTAGTTTTCCCATTTGTGCTCCAGTAAAACCATACACAGAATTAGCAGATACTTTTAAAGCATATTGTCTACCATCTAAAACCTTTTGTTTCAATGGATCAGTTTCTTTTTTCAGTTCAGCTTTTGCTGCTTTTCTAGCTGACAAAAGATTTTCTAAAATTTCTGGAAGGATTCCTTTTCTGATGTTAACTTTGACAAATTTCGAATCATTAGGAGTTATAGTAATATTATCTGATTGAATATTGTTTTTAGCCTGCTTATCGTATTTTATCAATGTTGTGTAACATAAGTTGTGAGCCATAATAATACTAGGATATAGAGAGCTAAAATCTAAAGTTGCAATAGGATCATTATAATATCCACGTTTTGGTTCTATAACTGTTGCTCCTTCAAATTGTTCATCGCTAGCTTGACCTCGATGTACTGGCATTAAATAATCTTTCTCTCGAGTCTGAAATCAAATATCTTTAGTAGAATTTTAATTGGAATTACAATTATCTAGTTTATTATTATTATTAACCTTTCTCAATAATTGTGAAACAACTTTAATTTGTTGACCTCGTGTTAATAAACTAGATATGGAAACTCCAGTAACTCTTGCCATTTCCATATAAATAAAAATACACATCAACTTATCCAACAATCTAAGTGGTAAATATGCATCTTTCAAACAATAAACAGCAAGTCTTCGACGTGTTTGTGCATTACCATTTTGTAAATCTGTGATAATACTATGATGAACATCTTCTTTTTGTTCTTGTAAAAAATGATAAGAGACAGCATTTAAAGTATAAGATCTTAATTTATAATCTCTAACCAATACCTAAAAACATAATCATAAATATTTATTGTTATACAAATTTATAATTAATAATTCTAGGATAATTGATTTTACCAGCAATAAATCAAATGGAACTCTTCCTTCAAAATTAATGGATTTATTTTCACGACGACCCATTTGTTTGCTTTGAAGTACTTGAGTTTTAATTACAGATTTTATATTTTTTATTCGACCAAGGAAATAAAAATCTCGTACATTAAGATGACTTGCTCGATTAATTAAATAAGGAAAATCAAAATTATTTATGTTATATCCTGTAAAAATATCAGGATCTAATTGTCTAACAAAATCTGCCCATTTCTAAGAAAAATAAAATATAATATATATTGGTTGATTTTCAATATGATTAATGCAAAGTTAAATTTAAAATAATAAAATCATACTTCTAACATTTTATGTTCTGTTTCAAAACTTAAAACTTGACAACCAACAATTGGTGCACAAGTATCAAGGGTGAAAATATTTCGTAAAAATGGTTCTGATTCTCCTTGTTTTATTACCATATTAGCAATTTGTATCACTGGATCATGATTTGGTTCGGGAAATATACCTATATTTATATTAAAAAAATTAAGTGATTTATGTATCATATAAAAAAGAGTTTGTTTAATCAAAAAATGAATTTTTACCTTTGCGTCCTGCACATTCAATATCAAAACTAAGAATTCTAAATGGAGCAATTTTTGACCATTCTCCTTGTGGAGCATGTGCAATAAAAGTATCCCATGCAACATCAACTTCTAACTGACATCTTGCAGTTAATGGTAAATTGTGTCCAAAATGTTGTCGAAGTTTCCAAGTTTTAGGTGGTAATTCAATCCATGAACATCCAACTACTGATGTATCAACCATAAATCTTAAATAAATGATTATTTATTTAAGAAAAAATTAAAATTAAAAAGTAAAAGATATAATTCAATTGCACACCTAATATCAAAGTCAATATTGCTTTCAAAAGCAATATATTGATGCTTGAATTCAGATAAAATAGTCTCTTCTTCAACTATTTTCTTACAACGTGATACTAATCTTGGAAGTGCTAATGTAATTTTTAAAAACAATGATTTTTCATCTCCTGTATATCCATACATATTTTGTTTAAATACTCGTTCAACAGCTAACACAGCTATCTGAATGTTTTCTGGATTAGATCTCATATCTTTCAATATTGCTTTATCTAAAGCCTCCTAAATAATATGTTGTAATAAAATAATTTGTGATATTTGTTTAAAATATATTACTGATACATATTGATTTTTAAAATTACATACCTTAAATAATTTACAATGATGATCATTAAAATTTGTTGGTGCTATAACATATAAATAAGGACTAAAACCATGAACATGACAACAAACTGAATTTCCTAATTCTGTAACACCAAACATTCTCATTATTGGTACAGGAGGCATATTACTACCTGGCATTCCAGGCAATGGTATACCTTGAAAAAAAATTTTATATTTTATATTTTATATTTTTATTAATTTTAATATTAAAATTATATTTTAATATTAATTTTATTATTAAAATTTTAAGAGCTAGAATAGATTTTGTTGATATTTATAATATTATTTACCACTATAATGATCAATTTCTATTTGTTGAAAAATTAATGCATCCTTCTGTGGATTTAATTCTGGAGGTGGAGGCCTATTCCATTTTGAAGATGTATTTTCTTGTTCAGGACCCTAATGAAAATTTATTAAAAATAAATAATTACTTAAAAAGATATGCTATATAATATATAAAATAGTACATGATAAAAATAACAATAAAAAAATAAAATTACGCAAAAAAAATATGCGTAATAAAAAAGCATTTAAAAGCAAATTAAAAATAAGTCAATGAATGAATTTATAAATGTGTGAATTAAATTATGAATTCAATTATTTATGAATATGATATACATTAAGTTGCATTAAAAAAAAAAAACTGGAAATTAATATATTAATATGTCTTGTAATATGCAATAATATGTTTATGCAATAATATGCTTAGTAAATATTATTTTATTATAAAACATACTTTTGTTACATTCATTAACTCACTGCTTTTGATGTTTTATTTAATTGCACAGGAATTGGCTAAAATAATAAAATATTATTGATATAAAATTAAAATATAAAATTACATATCTTACATATTAAAATTATTATTAATACAAATTTTTATCAAAAAAAAATTTCATATTATAATTTTTATTTAATAATTGATATAATATTTATATATATACCTCTTCAATAACTTGAGACATAGTATTTCCAAATTCATCTTCCATTTCATCCATAGTAGCCAATTCTGCTTCAAATGAACCAGGATAATCATCGTCATCTTCATCTCTATTACTAAATAAAAAATATATTAAAAGTTTAGTAACAATAATAAGTAACAATAAAAATATATAAATGAAATAGTAATAAAAAATATATAAATCAATAAATATAACATATATATTTATATGCAGAATTGAAAAATATAATATGAAAGATATAATATTAATTTTTTTTAATTTATTAATTATTTGTGGCATATGTATTAATTATATAACATAAAAAACAATATATATAAGTTAAATATATAAGTTAAATTTATTTCAATAAAATTTTTTTTAATAATTTAATAAGAGAAATGTAAATATAGAACAATAAATTAAGGTTAAAACAAATTTGTTAACAAATATTGTAAATATTTACCGATATTTTGCCTTTTTTGCAGTGGAAGATGCTGAAAATTGTCTTTTATTCATCTTATTTTATTATATCTCAAATGACACATTAAATACGAATATTTTGCTTATAAATGCTGAGAGCATATATAGAAATAGCGCGAAAATATTTTAATATCTAGTTATTTTCATTACTTATTAAAATTACAAGTTGTTAATATTGAAAAATAAATAGCTTTTAAATTTTTAAAGATACAATTTTTATTTAAATTTATTTAAATAAAATTTAAAAAAAATTGTTATTAATTATTT